GAAGAAATTCAGGCCAGAAAAAAGGGCGTAGCTCACAATGCAGAGTCAGCCCGTGGAATTCATAGCTATATGTAGTGATGGCCACCAAATCTGGCAGCTTTATGGATTGCTTCCAGTATCACATGCAGGATGTATCTTGATCCTTAGTGCTGCTGCTGCTGCCGTTCTCCATTCTTGCTGGGAACTTTCTGCTGCAACTGGGCCCTCAGAGAAACAATGTTTGTTTGTTTGTTTGTTTGTTAACAAATTTGTGAAGCTGCCCATCAACCAAGGGAACTCTAGGGACCCCTGAATTTAACACAGACCATATCATCATACTTCACTGAATTCCCACAGAAATGAAATTTTGTATGTAAAATTGACAGAATTACAGTTTAACTTTAATTTCAAATAAATTCAAATGCAGTATTTTTAATAGCTACTTTAAACAAATGTCCACAGTTTAGTAATAAGGTGCTAAATTAAAGGTTTTATAGGGCTTTTCTGAAACACCTGCGGATTTATAACTTCTGGAATTTAAAAAATGGAGTACGATCACATTTTATTAGAACATTCAGAATGAAAAGTTGCTTGTATATTTTTATTTCCCAGAATCAGATTCCAGAACTGATTTATCCCATTATCATCTCTTTGCTCTGAAGAAATTCAATCCCACTTGCTGAAAACAAATACATTTTTTTTTTTGGAAAAAAAAAAAAGACAAGGAATAAAGCTTCTCTTCAGTTGTTTGGAGATGATATGCAATACATGTCCATTGTGTTCTTATGCATTTTGGTTTTTACATTTCTAATGAAAAACCTTTTTTAAAAAAGTGGCCATATTAAAAAAATCTTCTAGATATTTTATAGGGGACATTTTCCCCACATCGTTGTTGGTGGTCAGTCAGCATGGGCTAAGGCATAGTAGACATCATGCATATAATGTAAAGATCAAATGTGAGTCTCAAAATGAGAGTAGTCATTGAACAGTTTTTCACATGCCTATTTCCCAGAAAGATAACAGAAGGCTTTCTTTTTAAATGTAGGCCTTCTTTTCCCATTAATACAGTCCTGAGAGAAGGTGAAGCCGAAGTTCAAATAAATGTGGGTCAAGCAGTGTGACAACACTTTTAAACACATAAGTAAATCTCCAATAGAATGCTGAAACAGAAGAAATGTCATGTTTTGGAATGATTGAGTTAAAAATCTAATCCTAAACTTCAACCCAACTGAAATCTTGTAACATGACTTAGAGAGATCAGTTCAGCTCCAAAATATCAGTGAGGTGAAGTGGTTTTGTAAAGTGGAATGGGCCAAAATACCACAGAAGCCAATGGATGAGACTGATCAATAGGTACAGGAAACCTTTGGTTGAAATCACCGCAGCTAAAGAAGGTCCTATCGGTTACTAAATCTAGAGCTTCACACATTTTTTCCAACAAAGAAAGTGAATGCTGGCTTAATGTGTTCAATAAGGCCAGAACACAGTACCAAGATAAGTTTGTTGTTTGTTTAACAAGAATCTGTTGATTTTATGTACAGGATTTAAATGCAGCTCAGATCACACTGTAGGTGACAGTACTGCAGGGTTATAGAAAGTTTTAGAGTTCACAAACTTTCTTTCATCATGTAACATGTCAGCAGAATGTTAAGAAAGCCTCCTATTAATATCTGCTGTTATTACAGATATTATGAATCACAAAAAAGCTAGTCATAAATGACATCCTTGGATCATCTATCCATTGGGAGTTGACAAGCATTCTTTCAACGCTCGATTTTCTAGGCAACAAAGCAGCATTTCCTGTCAGCCAGGCACTTTGGCACCAGCCTCATCCACTCTCCAACTGCAGTGCATATTCTGAACTGAAAACAAGCAAACACCATCCCACCCTTTCCTAAAATTAGTTTTTCAAAAGAATAAGAGAGAATGGGAGAAATTCTCTTCTTCTAAATCTACAACCTTGCATGTTTAATAAAGCTTTATAGAAAGGCCTGATACAAATGAAAATTCTTGCTTTACCCAATCTATTGTCTTCCCCATATCTTGTACTATAATTTTCATCATGGCAGGGCTGGATGGGAATGGAGATGGTATACAAAGGACAACAGATTGGGGGAAGATATGAATTGAGAATATTCTTTGTCAATGACCAAGTGGGAAGAGAGGACACTGAAAATCTATTAGTTTCCTCCATCACTGGAAAGACAGAGGTGCACAGGTAGTCCTTGTTTAGTGACCACAACTGGGACCGGCAACTCTGTCATTAATAGAAGCAGTCACTAAGTGAAAAATCATGTGATTGCAACTATGTTTACAGTTTTACTTCAGTTATCCTTTGCTTTACAGCATCAGAAGGATATGACCCCAATAGCCGGATGAGCCCACATGGCAGGGAAGGTTTCTGGCACTCAACTCACAAGGAAGCTGGGTAAAAGGGGAAATCTTATAGCCCTTTTTTCCCACTCCCCTGCCCTTTGGAATGCTCACTCTGGGCACTGGGATAATTAGCAAGAAGAGAATTGATGTTTGTATTTACATTCATTGGAGAGGAAGGGATTACAAGAGAGTAAGTAGACACACAATGGGGAATACACATCAAAAGGAATGCAGTAGTGCCAGCTGTTTGCCCAGCATGCTCAGAGCTGTCAGCTGCTTAGGAGGCAAACAAGAGCCTTTAAATTGTGAAACTGATTAGGGTCTTGTCAATTTCAGGCAGCAGCTGCCAGCCCAGGAATGTTCTAATCAACTAATAAGGTCACAGAGCTGAGCTTGTTAACTTATGGTTTGCACTTTTTAGGGAGGCACTAGGCTGGGGAGAAAAGAAGCTTTGGAAGAGATTTTTTTTTTTTGGCAATCTCTTCGCTCTTCCAGGAGGGGGAAAAGAAAGAAAAAAAATGGGTTAGGCACAGGGCATGTGTGCCAGCTGATTGTAATGGCGAATGTGACTGAGAGAGATGCTGCAAAGGTTGTAAATGTAGATTTTGGTCACAAAGTTACTTTTTCATCAGTATTGTAACTGCAAACAGTCACTGTCTGAGGCAGTTGCTAAATGTGGACTTTCTCCTCTAACTAGATTATAGCTTGTGCCTTGATTGTATATATTACATGCACACATTGGCTTACCAGATGGCAAAAGTTAGTGTTTAAAGTTTGGGAAGACAAGTAGATAAAGCCTTAATGAAATTCAGAATCCCCATCTGAAGACCTGCCCATATTTTAGGGAGAAAGTCCAGATACCCAGAAATTTCTTCAATTCATTACATTTTGAATAGCTGTTTAAAAGCACTCTGAATCATAATCAATCAAAAGATCAACTTGATTTTTTGGTTTTTTTTCCCCTGGAGCATTGTATCTAAATATTTAAACTTGTATATCTCTGCATTTGGATGTCTTCTGCTTCCTCTATCTTATGCCTTCTTCTCTAACCTGCTTCCAATTTTTAATCAAATCATTGCTTCTGCATCATCTTTTAAAAGCAGTAGCCAAGAAGATCACTGCAAAAAGGTAAGAGTGCCAGGCCTGTTTGCTCTTCTGTAGCAGAGCACTGATATAATATCTCTCATTTTGTTCAGAGGTGGCCCATCCGTATAATGAACATTGTGGCTATGTTCATATGTCATGATAATGCCCACTTAGCTAAGCGATGGTTTAATCAGTTAATCAAATTGCCTAGGTTCACATGATAACCTGAGTCATAAACTAACCAAGCAGGCTAGATTCACACAACACATCAGGATAACATGTAGCTTGTGAGTTTATAGTGTAGTCTATCATGTGAAGCAAGACCATGTGCCCCTTTTTATCAGCCTTAGCACTTATCCTCAGCAGTCAATACAATCTATTAAAATTCTCTTCCCTAGGATCATCTGCCCTGACGTAGGTTGTGATAATTTAGCAGTGCGGAACAGTGCTCTGCACAGGCTCAGAAACACATGCACATGCACTCTAGCATTAGAAAAGAAACATACAGCTACAGTTATATGGGGAAGTGCAACATTAAAGTCTCAGATTAAGCTCTGTATTCAGTTAGGGTGCTATTGTTGCAGCTTTTAACATACACCAGCCAAGAACATATAACGAGGGATTGTCCATCTTGCTATGAATCCTAGCAATTAGGAGCATCAGCATTGGCAAAGGAAGGGAGGAAGATGCTAATCAAAGTCCTTCAGCAAGACCTTGCTTGCAGGATGCAATTTTGAAATCAAATATTTGCTTGGCTAGAAGCAGGGTTGGAAGTCAGAATTTCTGTGCCATTTGGGCTGCTTGAGACGGGATGGGGGCAAAGATTTGCTTTATTATACTAACCATTAAACCATTTTGTTTCCCCCAAGGGCTAGAGACCGGAGGAGCCCAAGGCCATCGGGCCGAGTTCACAGAAGTGTTAAAGTGGACTGTCTCCCTGAAGTGAGAGGGTGCGAAAAGCGGCAGCAGCAGCAGCAGCAGCAGCAGCAGCAGCAGCAGCAGCAGCAGCTGAAGTCTATGAATTATGGATGGTGCTGCAAGTC